GAAATCCAATATGCACGTGAATGTTAACTGTTTGTGGTAGATCAATTCGTGGTGTTCATGCGTCAACACACTTCTTTTAGAAATATCTCATAACAAAGAGCTTGTCCTATCCGTCCAAAAAGTTGTAAATTTAAAAAGGGGCAACAGCCCGTTCATTACCTTAATACTGCGGTCTCTGGTAACTCCGATTCCTGAGGTAGGAAGTGGTGGTATTCCTAGTCTCCGATGGCCCGAAGACATCCAGCCAGGGGTTTTCATATCGATCGTACCGGCACGCCCCTTCTAGAGGCACTAGACGTCCTACTCGGCGCGACCAGCTGAACTCGTGGAGCTTCGCGCAGTACGGCATCGGGGTTGCCACATCCCCGGCGTCGGCGTCCCAATCCGCAAAGTATTCCAGCGGGTCCTCACCGTAAGCTTCGACGAGTCCGTTCTCCTTCGTGAACTTCCAAAAGGTCGTCTCGGTGTTTGCCAGCTCGGGCCTATCCACCCGCCAGTAATACGTGGCTTGTCCCAGCTTCCCCCAGGCCCAATATGTCTTCTCTTGACTATCCCCGAACTCCATGTCAACTTCCTCGCTGCCCGAGTTAATCTCCATAAGGTCAGTGATAGGATACGCTTCGCTGAACAGCCCTAGCTTCGAATCGAAGTAGGCTGCTGTGCTGCAATTGTGATGGTCGTAGATAGATACTTCCGTCCTTATTTCACACATGTGTTGTTCCAAGAGTCTGTATCTCTCGGTGGCGATAATGCTGTACGATTCTCCGTTGATAAATGGAAGAATGCGCCCCTGAGGTATGAAATGAGAAAACTCGTCGTTATTGCTTCGGATCGTGATCGAATCTAGCTGGAGACCGGTCAGTTGCATGAGGTCCCTGACCGACACCCGACACATGACAAGCGCAAGGTGTCGCAGCTGTTCGGAATGTCGACGGCAGAAACGGCCGAGCAACTCGCGCGAAAACCGGGTTCCTCCAAGCTGTAGTGAAGTCAAGTGAGGCCAACTATGGAAAAGGAGGATCTTATCCACGACCTGTTTCCCGGTCGAACTCGATGTTCTTTCGAAACACAGCGATAGATTCTTCAGCTCTGCTGCTTCGAGTAGGCATATTATTAAGCCGTCGAGGTCGTCTTCTTCGAAATGACTGATGCATAGGTCGATCGACGTGAGTGCGTTGAAGGCGAAGGGTTCCATGCCACGTCTGAGGCTTGACCTGTCAGTTCTCTCATCCGCCAAGTGTAGTGCTTCAATTCTCTGCTGGTCCGCTATCAGCGGTAACATGATCTCAAAGAAGCCATCATTGCCGCCAGGCAAATCTATGTTCTGGTTGATGCTATATAGGCCGGCATGCAAAGGGTAATCTTCGTAGTAGAAAGTTCGTTCAGGCGGCATGGAGCACGAGATAAACGTCCTTAACTTTGGCATCCGGTTGAGCGCGTCAACGAAACGACCCCTGAAATACTTGATGATATAAGCTCGCCGTACCCTGGGCTGGCGCTTTCTTGGAAACCAGAATAGTTGTGAGTCATTCGCAGCTCTTGTCAAGAGGCTGTTCATATATTCAAAGTCGTCATCCTCCTCTGTAGCTGGGGGAGTCCATACTTCGAGGCAGAGCTCGTGCCAGACCAGCTGTTGCACATGCCGAGCGAGATGGGGCGTGTTGGAGATCTGTTCGAACTTAATCTTGTCCTCCCTGAGACGAGAGATGACAATCCGCCGAAATAGATGGGGTTCTGCGTGATGCGCCCAGCCACTACATGTAAGACGCAAGGCTTTCAGGTCCCGATTTGAAAGCGTCTCATCAGCTATAACCTGAAGAAACAACTCGAGGGGAAGATTGGCTAGAATGCTAACAAAGGCCATTATAGCCGCGTTGGAGGAGTGTTCGTACGAACCAGTGTTAGTTAGCTTGATTTCGCGAGTAGGCCTAGACGAGAGGTACTATGTCTAACTTACACTACCTGGTCAATATTAATGGTATATAGGGGATAGAGAATTGAAAAGCAGAGAGGAACATCTCGCTTTTATACTACAGTTGATCAAAGTGCAAACTTGAGGTGGTGAGTAGATGATTTGAAGATCGGGTTTCACTTATGAGGTGAGTAGCTACGTCGAATCTAAACAACTAGTTGGCTTGCTTGCAGCTGAGAGAGTATCATCTGACGGTTTCTTTTCACGTAACCCAACTGTTGTCTAGATGTTGACTCATGGAAAGACTTGTAGTATGTGCATATTGACGTGCAATAGCTTCTGCTAATGACAAGACTGAAGTATTCTGATTTCGCTGTACTGAACATACAATACACTCACACCACGTATTCTTGGAAGGAGTCATAAAGCAATAAGTGGCCTATCCACGGGGCCCTACTTTATGCTTTCGTCTCTTGATGTCAGCTTCCAGCGCGGGATGATTGCATGTCGTAAACAGACACATCGAAATGAGTGAAGAATACCTACTAGGGTTCGCCAGACCTCATGTACACATAATGGACGTCTGGCACGAAGGCACCCATCAGTAATGTTGAGTTAGATGTATCATGTAATGATCGATACCTTACCAAAGTAACTACAAATATAAGCTGCAATCCTGATCAGTGTAATATATGAGGCAACTTTGCTAATAAACCTAGCTGTAATTCAAAGGATAAATTGGGAGAATCTATAGTCAAGTTAAAGCGTGACTCGAGTATCTGCTACTCTCTCAGGTATAGCAAGTAGCAAGTTGGGGAAAGGTGTTGGCAGATTCGACCTCACAGGTATATTGCGATAGGGTGGTAACGGTGACCGTGAAAAGGTGCGAATGTGACGCGGCGAGACAGCGCTCAAGCCTTGTTACCCGTGATGTTGGTGTCTTATCTCTTGTCTCTTGGCGAGCGGCGCAGTTTTGATTTTAGCTACCGCCATCGTGGTAGTTAAGGCTATAGCCATGGGTGTTTTTCTGGCAAACCAGACCATACCATGGCCGTCGAGAGCGATTAGAACTATGTCTCACGGCAAAGGGGTGCTTTGGTGGGAGGCATCGTGAGAAGCGTTTGAAGTGGCCTATGCGGTGCTACCGAGAACAAAAGCTGACCGATGATCAAGTGAAGGACGCTGAAAAAGTGTATTGCATTCACGATCATCTATATGGGTTTGGAAAACAGAGCTTGATGCTTCAGCCGGCGCGACGCGGAACGAGCTGAGCTCTAGGGTAGCCAGCTGAGGCGAGGATCGTGAACGTGGGGCTATGTTTACGCGCGGAAACCGGAGTTAGAAGGTACTCCGGGACTACGCGAGGCGCACAGAACCGTGTATAACAAGGCAAGATTTGAGGCACCTCGACACTCAGAGAGGGTCGAATTGGAAGCTATTTCCATATCTTGACTGGACGTGCCTCTAATTTGGAGGGATAGCAGTCATGGTAGGTCGGTGACGAAATACATATCCATATTTCTCAGCCGATCAAATTTCTTGCATTAGATCTTCTCGGAACGGATAAGCGAAATGGCGTTTGCTAGGTACTTCACGTTACACAATTCCTTAGGTTAGGTGCCTAGGTAGTATTCGGTTCATGTGCGTGCTTGTCTAGGGGCAAGCGGTAATAGTCATCTTCGTATAGCCGCCGCGTATCTCAAGAACCCGGGCCGTCTCCCGCCAGATATGGCGCGCATCGCGTTCCCACCGGGCTGGAGTAGCGACCGAATACAGGCGCTTACCCCTGAAGACTTCAGCCAGGTTCCGGAAGAAGTCCGAGTGCCTTAGCCCTACCGAACGTGCTCGTATCACTGACTCTGACTCTTGCACAAGGAACGTAAAGCCCTCTGGGCCGCCGTTCGGAAGTCTCCATTCAGTTCCGAGTACGAAAAGATAAACGAGCTTAATGTAGCTCTCTTAAAAGCCAACGAGCGGCCCTCTACACCCCCGACGTATGTGCCGACTGGGTGGACCGTTGACCAAGCAAGAGGCTTCGATCTGAACCTCGTCACCAAGCTTTCGGAAGAGGTGCGTTTCAAGAGCTGTGGATTCGCCTCGAAGCCGTCAATTAAACATGAAAGACGGCGTATAGGAACATCGACTCTGGATTGCTGGAAAGACAGCCGACGATGTCCGGAGAGTCCAGAAGCGTAATCAACTGAAGCACAATCAACTGCCGAGTTCCGCCCCAAGCTACATTCCCGCCGGCTGGACAGCAGAGCAGACCATATGTCCAAGCTTCGAGCTGCTATCGCAACTTTCGAAACAAGTCGGTGAGCGCCTCTAACTTGAAGCTAGCCCTACTCACCTATCCTCACAGGACCTCACGATATTTATGCAAGCCCGGAATGAAGCTAACCAAAGCTCACCTGCGGCTCCTCAAAGGGCGAACATAGCTCCATCACCTTTAGTCCAGACTCTGCAACGAGCAGGCTTCTCACCATGGGGGTTCGTCATAGTCCGGACTTGCTATCATTCCGAGAATCGCTGGAAACAGTTTCAAGAGAAACTCGAAGCGATGTGCGATAGGCAGCTTGATGAAGAGACTGGTGACGGCCTCAACAAGATTCAGGAAACGTTGGAGTTCAAGATGATCGAGGATCCGCGCCTTCAAGACGTTAGTGCGGAAGAGGCCAGAAGGTAGTCCACCATATCACGGGATTCATCTCATCGTCTCATACTCAACTGAGCTTAGGCATTTTTATATTGCCAAAGCAATGGGTGGTGTCGCTGCTGGTCTAGATCTCAGCGTCCTACTTATAGCCGATGAAGGGGCAGTGGACTCAATCCTCGACGACGGTGCGGATGATAGTGGTGCACCTTACATCACCGCCGTCGATGTAAAAGAGAGTAGTGAGCCAGGGAGCTACCCTGGTCACTTCAAGGTAGCTGTCGGTTCCCTTTTGTGCGAACTTTATCCTAAACTATCTACGGGTCTAAGTCCTTAATCTCTTTGGTCCATGATGGATCATGAAGATGGCATCTGGACAGGCGACGACGAATGAGAACCCACTACCTTGAAGAGCAAAAATGTAAATTAATAGGTCTCCGAATCGGGGAATCGAACCCCGGGCTTGACGAGCTCGGTGCTTTTCAGCTGCGAGAACGTCAAATGTTAAGCCACTACACCAATTCGGCCTGTGAACTGCCGCAGCCACGTTGAATGTTGAACCAGTAACTAATCATAACATATAAGCTTTACATACTCTCGCATAGGATACCACAACAGGCAACACATGGTATGTTGTGGTATAATCCGATATATGGCATGTTCGCACCAGTTAAGATTGAAGCCGACCGTTTCGAAGAGCGCCCATGGGTCTGCTCTTCCACCACTATTTCATTCCACTATTACACACTCTCTTGAAACTCCTCCTTCATTTATCCGTATTCATATCTAGGTGTATGTCCTGGCTAGCCTCGATCTGGGTGTGGGTTGTTTGCTGGTGATAATAGGGATGGCGGTGATGGCGGCGAAGGCTGTCGTCCCCAATTGCGCAATCTCTGCCTTGGGAAGGACTCCTCATGCCCTGTGTGGCCCTCGTGTTTAGGTCTTGTGCTGCTGGTACGATATACCTTTGGCGGCAATGCTCTCATCGTTGCGAGAGGTGGTAGCGAGGGCAGCAGGTTTGGTCATGCGTGCCGCTCTGCATTTTGACTTGATTGGTGACCTTATGATGGGTTAATAATCAATGGGGAAAAGCAGCCATTTTGTTGCAGATCTCCCTATTTTAAAAAAGAAAAGAAAAGAATTAAGTGGCTCGTCCGTTGGACTAAGGATCCTACGTTTTTGAAGAATATCAACTTACCAGCTCACCTTTGTCTATGAGTTGGAGCGGCGGCCAGCTACTAGGCCAACTGCCAGCGAGCTAACCTAGGTCTACTAAGGCTATAGCGCTATGCTGCTACGAAGTACATAATAAGATTTTATCGCGTCTTTTCCCGTTGATATCTTTATAGCGCATGTTACCCACTAGCCCTCATGTATTTATAGCATACTTACACAAACCAGCTGTTAAAATAGCGAATCCAGGTGTTTAGCAGCTGACTAGACCCATATCCCTACCTAAGGTTATATCTTTTGGTGGCGCCACCGGTCGTCATGTCACTACCTCCAAGAAAATCCTAGAATACCCAGAGAGGCTTTAAAAAAACAAAAATGTATTATCGAGAACTACCATTCTAACAAGAAGAGGCAACCATAGCGGCATGGGTTTTGGTCGTTCTCTTTCACCCTCCAAACTTAGGTAGTATCTACCATCCCTCGTCCCTCCCTCTCCTTTCCTCTCGTCTCCTGTGCACTACCGCACCGCACGTAGCGTTAACGATCGAGTCGGTGCTTGGTAATCCCCAGGTGGTATGGGCACCAACCTGGTCCGACGCGGACGCGGACGCGGACGCAGCCGGAGCTGGAGCTCCGCATTTACCGGTGAGGCTGACGCCGCATGCATAGTGGAAGGGAGCATGCGGGTTGTTAACGAAGGGGAAGCTGCCGAGGCCGGGTGTTGACTCGGCGTGGCCCACTCCGCCACCGTCCTAGGGAATGCTGGGTAATGATCCAGCATCCGTCCTCTGCAACATTGCAGCGTAACCAGCTGATTGCGATGCAAGGTCGCATGTGTACCGCAGTGTGTAAGTGTTGACGCTTCTACCCGTCGCTGCATTGCCAACTCCTCGGTCGTATCGTCCGGGAAGACGGGGACGCTTCCGATGTGCCGGGTATCGGGAGGCTCTCCGTCTGACGCCTCCAGTTACCGTTGCAGCGCGCGACTTGGAGTCTCCGGTTCGGAGGTAGACACCATGGGAGCGGGTCAGGTGCTGAGCACCCGATGGCTGCCGCCCCCATGGTCCTTTCGTCTCTGCTGCGGGTTGGCTGCTTCGGGATCCCTGTGGGGTCGAAACTAGGCCGTACCGCAGCGACGCGCGCCGCTCTCCATCCCTATCGTCCATGTGCCGCACTTGGCACCCTGGGGATGGTTTTGGGGGTTGAGGTCTCGGCGGATCCGGAATATCCAGTCGGCATGGTGTAAGCCGTTCTGGGTCTTGTCGGGTATGGGCAGTGGGTGCAGCAAGGTATATGACTGCATGGCTATTGTTATACGCTATTGGTCCCTCAGGTCCCGGACTTCGCAAATCGCATCCTTCATGGCGAAGGCGATGACCTTGCCATGGTTGTCAAGGGTCATGAAGATGTCGGCGGTGATGTGGTCGTAGACGAAGTTCGCCGCCGCGAACTTGTCACGCGCCGCTTCGTACCACGGCTATAGGAAATCCGGGTCGATGGTACTGGTCCCCAGGGATCCCGCCCATCGATGATGCCCCCGGGGACCAGCAAGTCGTTATCCCTGTGGGGTCGACAGTACTGGTCCCCGGTAGTGGGCCGAATGCCACGTAGTTCCCTGAGACTCCTCATACCCAGGTAGCTGAACTTTCCCCTGCACGGGCATCCGAAGGGGCGCGGAATGCCTCGATCAACTCGTTTGTTGGGTTGATGAAACTGGGATTTTATACCCCTCAATCGACATCGGGGAGGGGGGCGGACACCTTCGAAGGAGAGCAGTGTCCAACCTCCATAGAGGGTGGTTCCCCCTCGAACTTCCAGTGTTGCGGGTCGTAGATCGACGGGCTACGCGCCTGAACTGGTGGCTGCAGTAGCGCTGCCACAAGGAAGCAGGGCGGCGCCGGTACCGTCGTCGCCACGACGGGCGAGTGCACTCTGGTCCTGGGGGAGCGCTGATCTGATCCGCGTCAAGCGGGACTCTGCCATTAGGCCAGCCAACCATGCATTGATGAAAGCAGGGTGGTCTCGGGTACCGTCCATGATAAGCACAGGATGCTTAGTGGCGTTGAACACCTCACGCATATGCTTGCTTGCAAGCAAGAGGGACGTTACATCGGTGATGCTTAGGTTCTTCATAATCTGGATCGCTAGTCCAGGTGCAAGATTCTCAATTTCACCGCCAGCTCGAAGGATGAGTGCGCTTTGGCATAAAGCTCGAAACATCCCAAAACTCATTGACCGAGTTCTTGTTTTTGAGGTGGACGTTCCAGGCGGAAAGCAGTTGCTTTTCGCTGATACACATATTCGCGTTAGCGACCTTGGCTATGTCGCCATCTTCGCATGGGAACGAGTTGACGTCGTGCGTGCTGAAGTGTCCGATGGTAATTTTCTGCCATGCGGGGGGCGCATTCGTCGGCGGTTCTCTACTGCCTCCGTGACGCGGACACCTCTCATGGGCTCCGGGCACAGGAAGCGGCCATGGTTGGTGAAGATGCTGGCAAGGATTGTTGGTAGAATTGCGAGAGCCGTCCTCGCCAGCGGTACCCTATGGGTCGCTTAGCTTGGACGGCTCTCGGCACCGGACCTGTCGCGAGTGCAGCTAACTTGGGCTACCACAGGCCTAGCCGCTCCGCGATGGGAGAATAGCCGGGAGAGAGGCGGACCGGCAGAAACATCAGAGCTGCCATCCTCGTCAGGACGGCTAACGCAAACCCGGACTGGGAAGTCCATCGCAACCTGGATTCCTTCAGTCTTCCCGACGTCTCGGGTGATCTCGGCCACCTTTTCCTCGGGGTCCTTGGCCTCAGGGGAAAGTCTTCCGATGCATGCCGTCAGTCGCAGGCCCCCGAGTTTGCCTATTGGCATTGCTGGTTCAGGGCGGATCGCCAGTACCTCGAGCTCCCTCTGGGACCGATGGTACTGGCGATCCTAAACCCAAGGTCTAGGTAGGGTAGCCATGGTGTTAGCGACCGTCTGCTTAGCCCTTGCTCATTGATGCTGTCCAGGTTGGGGCCGACAGGCTCAAAGGCACGCTGCCGCCGCTTGGGGGACCAACCGTGGTAAATGGGTGATAGTCGCCGGACGGATAGTCGAAGCGGCCGAGTGAGCAGTGACGAGGGTGACGAGGGGAGCGACAGGGGCGGTAGCAGAGGCTACAGTGGATCCGGGAGCGGCGCCGGGAACATCAGTGAGTCGGGACAGGACCGCCATTGAGTATCCTTTGCGATGTTGTTGGCCACGGCCCGGACATAGGCTCGTCGTCAGATGTCAGGGCCGGGGATCTGCTATCCTTGATAATCTAGCAGTAGGTGTCCTCGGGGGTATATCCTGTCCCATGGGATTTGAGTAGATGGTGACCTGCTTACGCCATCGTCCGCCCAGTGCCTAGTGCAGCCACCGGGCGGATATGCTCACCCTTCGGCTGCTTCTTGTGGTATGTCGTTTCCGTCCGATGCTCCTCGTAGTTGTGGGACTAGCGGGGCGGCCCGAGGCGGCCCGAGGCGGAAACCGGGGCGGAAACCGGGGCGGTCCGAGGTGCAAATTGGGGCGGTCCGAGGCGCAAGCCGGAGCGGTCCGTTCCGTGACGCGATTACGTTAAGTATATCACGACTACAAGGGAGGCGCCAGCCTAAAGAAGTCATGGGCTTGGACTGGTCACAGAAACCAGTCTTGTTGAAGTTAGTAGGTGTTCTTCAGTGTGTCGGGAATCATTGTGTAATACTTACAAGATAGTAGGGAAGCAACGGTGACTGTGCGAGATCACGGTCCCAGCCCTCTGGCTAACCTTGCGAAGGTTGCTTGGTCGGTGACTCTTTGAAGGGTGGCCATTTTTCGTCTGTCTCTGTGAAAGAGATAATAGAGAGTGAACATTCTAGTGTGAAGGTCATGGACGCGCCGCACGACCAAGTCATCGTGTTGACGACTGTTCTCTCCCATATGCACGTGACTGTGGCCTCACATTTCGTCAGCACAAACATATTCTGTGAACCATTTGAGTTCGAATGCACATACCTTGATACTTGTCCTCAGACGAGGTTCTTCCAAGATTGTCGGGAAGAGAATCTCTGATCTCCTGCAGGACTAAGAGGGAGGTCTTCATATACATTAGTGCTTGTGTTCAGACACATGCCGAGAAATTATTTCCTCCTGTCGGAAGAAATGCAATGCTTGGTTGGTGTTGAGTAAATGAATAGGATAGAGGGCAGAGGGCAGAGAAGAGTAGAAGAGTAGAAGAGTAGAAGAGTAGAAGAGTAGAAGAGTAGAAGAGTAGAAGAGTAGAAGAGTAGAAGAGTAGAAGAGTAGAAGAG